GCTGCCCCTGCCCGCGGGTACGTGCTGTTTCTCTCCCGTTTGCCCGAGGAAGCCAGAGAAGCCCCGGGTGCCCTTCCTGGCACACGTCAGATGGGCCACCAGCAGCTTCTGGTGCAGAGCGGCCTCGCATCCCGCCTCCGTACCCGGCCGCCGTTACCGAGGATCGCGAGAACCACGGGCGAGGTTCACGTTCCGAGCTCTAGCTGCAGTTAGCAGGCTCGTGAATCTAACTGGCAGTACAGGCTGTGACTAGGAGCTGGCTAAAGCTGCTGCCTCGCTAACAAGCTGTCTGTGCTGCTCTCGGTTTTTACTCACATTCCACTGAATGGCATGTAACATGACATGTTCAGCAGAGGCTGATACAAAGGCCCAGGAACCAATTAGGTGTGAATCTTACCATCAGATCACCTCTGCTTTATAGGTCAAGAGGCAAAAGTGACCTACAGTCTGGCAGTAGAATATGAAGGCAGTTCCTCAGAAAACGCTGCAGTGAACTTTCTGGATCATGTATGCCAGAATACATATGGGAGCTCCTTACCACTGTTCTGATGGGCTTTCATGCAGACAGGAGACAGGGATTATTTTTCTTACTTGTTAAAGGAGAAATTGGCCTTTACTCAAAGACCAGTCCCTTCAACACTGAGCAGTAAATTCTGCAAAGCTTGTGGATAACCAGATGAAACAAAATACAGCCTGAAGCAGACAAAACATTAATTAGCATCTTTGCTGGTCAAAGTAGATCTGTGTGATTCTGTAGCACAGTAAAAGTATTAACTACTAACAGATTTTTAAAATTACTCTCTAGCCGAACCAGTTGTGAGGAAGGAACTTCATAACATGCCTGATGAGTCTGTATTCATCTACTGCCTAGTAGGAGACAGAGCCTAGTAAGTAACTGTTTTAATCCCAGCAACTAATATAATTTTGCTATTAGTGGCCTGGAAGTTAACCTGTTAAAACAACTGACTCAACTGTCCTTTTCTGGAAGGAGTTAAGCATTTTTTTATTTTTTTTTTTTTTTAGTTTTAATGTCTACGCCTTCCCTAATACAAACTAGCTGCATGCTTGTTCTCTGAAGTGGGTTGGGGAGGTGCAAGGCAAAGTCCTTTGAATCATCCTTTTGAAGGAATTTTAACAGGCTAACTTCAAACTGCACCTCTACAAGCTGTGCTTAACCCCTTCTTCCTGAACAGCTGGAAGGATCCCAACAATGAATTCAGGAAGAATCTGAAACTAACAGGAGTGCCTACATTACTTAAATACGGAACAGTAAGTGACTTATTGTATGTTCTGGATCTACAGGCATTCAGATGGGCAACTGGCAGGAGCTTATGACTGTAAATGAATTAGTCATGCATGTTTTCTGATACCCTATCTTGTTTAGAAAGAGCAGACAATTAGGAACAGCTTTTCTGCTCCCACCCATGCACTCTTCCTGCCTCAAACAGTTCCTCAAGAGAGAGCCCATCTGCTTTCTGTATCTTGTTGTCTATAAGAAACATATAGTAAAGAAAATACGTACATTTAGCATCTAGTGGGTGACAGGTAGAGAAATTCTTAGCAACATCTTGTTAGTTTCCCGACTTGCAGCTCCTCAAATTTTAAAAAAATCCAAATGCTGAATTGTGGGAGTGAAACCAGGTTATGTGCAGTATACTCTTGATTCAAACAGACTACAGCTCAAATTTTAACTTGTGCATATTATTTAAATTGGCAGTTACTTTATTAGAAATGCCTCTTCCAAGGCCAGAAAACCCTCAGGCATTTTTCAGTTATTCTTACCTTGCTTGCTCCACCCCTCACCCTCCCTGGAAAAACAATTGCTGGAGTATGGCTAATGTTAGTATGTACAAATGGTTCTAGTCTAGAACAGATTTTTGAATTGCCCCTAAATCATCTTAACTTTTCTTTCAGCCTCAGAAGCTGGTTGAAGAAGAATGTTTTAAAGCAGAGCTTGTACGTATGTTGTTTACTGAAGACTGAATCCTCTAGTAGTCAATCATTTATGAAGATGTTAAATCTCAAGTTATTTGCAGTGTCCTTTCAAGGAATCCTTAACATTTTTTAAAACTGTCACGGTTAATTACTTCAGACTAGTCAAGATAAATGTCATTAACTTCTAGGTCCAAACCTTCCACTAAAATCCTGCAACGAAAAACTGTATCTTTCCTTTCATGTTTAAATAAACTTGTGTTTGCAAACGGTCTCTTTTCAAAGGAGCTGAGCTCATGTTATAGACAGAGAGAGCAGCCTATAATTACTGAAAAATAAGACTTAACTGCTAAGTTATACCTTTAATAGTGAATAAGGGAGGCGAGAAGGGTAGGAGGAACACAAAAAACCTGCTTATTCTTCCTAAATCTGCCTTTACGTAGCTACTGAAGCTGTTAAGATAAATTTTCAGTGCCAGAGATGTTTAATGGCTTATCTGTTCAGTCTGATAAGCTAATGGCTGACAGTCCTGGTGTCACTGACCACATGTTAAGGGTTAACAGCTGGAGTACCTGCTCCTACAAAGATATGAAATACAACGTGAATGCAGCACAAATACAATCTAAAATATGAAAATTAAATCTGACAGCTACCAAGATCTGTGTTCTTACAATAAAAACTGTACAGGAGTAAATGGCAAATGCTTCTCCAATACTGCAAGCATTTGCACCCTTTTCTGTAACACAAATTGTTTTCACTACATATACTGTAGAGAAGCCTAGAAGCAGCCACTATTTCACTGGCAGAAAACGAAGATTAAAGTAAGCTGACTTTAATGGAATAGATACAGCTACAGCCTATTTCATTCTGTTGAGCATCTGCAACATTTACTATTGCTTCCCTCTGCTCCACTCCTGCAGTACTTACCTCATAACACTTTGATTTCTATCTCTAAAACATGCTGTTAAGGAAAACTCTAAGAACCCCAGCAACAATGATTACCAGGTAAACAGAAATGACAAGTAATACTTCAGCTCGGTTTCAAAGCAAAAATCCACAATTTAGATTCTGTACAATGTCGTCACTTCAACTTTGCTCATCCTGCAGTTGTAAAAAGTAGTACGAGGAAGTTCGTAGCCACACTTTGAGACATACCCTTATTCTCCAGGGAAAGTGCCTCCTAAGAAGACTTCTGAGCTACACTTTTTGTTAGATACTTAAATGTCAGTGCCCTCAAAACTATGTTTTGTTTTCAAAATCAAAAGGAATCAATAACTACAGTAAGTAATGCTCTTACAAAATTGTCCAAAATAAATAGAAGAAGTAGGTGTTTATCAGTCTTCTATCTTTAAAGAAGTTGATGAAAGGGAAACAAAAATAAACAGCCATTTGATAAACCAAAAATTAAGTGTACACACACACGGAGCCAAACTTACAAAAGGGTTCATTCCTCTCTTTTAAGTACTTCAGCTGACACAAAGCACACCTTGTCATCACTCTTCCAAGCATTTTTCATTTTACAGAGGTGTTGTTTTGTTGCTGCTGCTCTGCAAGTGCTTGCTGGAGGCGCATTCTCTTCCGTGAATAGTGCTGCCAGTGAAGAATCTGTTGCTCATCAATAAATTTAGCACACTGAGCATTTACCAGTTCTTTGCGGAAATGTTCATATTGGAGCAGCTCTAACATATGCAAACACTGAGGATACCTGGATTAAAAACAAACATGCTTTAATACAAGTTTTTACAAGGTGCACTAAAACTGGAGTCTCCAATAATTATGCAGTTCATTGTTTTAGTTATCATGTATATGCTTTACTTGATTCAAACCACTTAAGACTGTACATACTCCACACACTGTAACTTAAACACTTCAGTATTAGGCCAGGAAACAAGGAGTTCTGTAAAAGTTTATAAATGGATATACATGCTCGCTTAGAATAGCTTTTCTAATGGCTAGGTTTTACTAAAACGAATACATAACTACAGTATCTGTTTCCAGAGCTCATTTAAAGAATATAATCAAGAACTGTTCTCCCAAAATCTGAAGGATTTTGCACGCTCACAAAAATGCAAAGTCATCCTGTGTTTCGTGTAAGCATCAACAATGCAAAATCACTCTTAAAATGTACTTACTGGACCTACTGGAGTAGTTCTGTAGCATAATGTTCAATAGTTTTATTTTAAACAAATGGTAAACTGCAGATAGAGTCCGCAAAAGGAATATTCCATGCATGACTCTCAAAAGACACAATTTTGTCTATTCTTGCTACATCTGGACTGTTGGAAACAGAAAGATTTATGTTGCATATAAACACAGAGGGGAGGACAAAGGTAAGGTTAAAGTCAGAAATTAAACACTGACACACTGCCATACAGTACATAACAGGAGGTAAACATCAAATTATTCAAATGCAGAAAACTAAGTGATTTTAACACTTACTTCAGGTATTTTGCATATTCAGGTTCTTTCCAATAAAGTAAATATTTAAGATAATTTACAAAAGCTTTATCTTTGAAGTAGCCTCTTTGTGCAAGAACTGAAATAAAATGACAAATAAGAAATTGTCAGTTATGGATGTGTGAAAAAAATCTGCCAAACTTGAAGAATATATTTTCACAAAACTATACAAAGAGGCACTTTTGTCAAAACTTTATCATTACAATCAAATTTTGATAATTCAAAATGAAAAAAACACAGGGAAAAATACATTTTATGTCAACATACTAGGCATAATAAACTAGTTTCATCTCCCTTATGGTATGTAGTTTTCATACAACAGCAAGCAAGAGAACATCTTTTTTAAATGGGAAATTTTGACTGTAGCATCAAAATTGGCAGGGAATTCAATATAGTACCTGAAGGTATTATTAACGTTAGTAAAACTGTTTTCAGATAAAAGAATACTCATCACTTTTTAACTACAGACTTGAACTTATTTTTTCTCCACCTTTCAATTCAACCAATAAAACACTTGGCATTTTAAAAAACCCACCTGTTAGAAATCTAGGCAAATTAAATGACTTACAGACTATCTTTATGCTGTGAAAGACCAATCCCCTTCTCTTTGTTTAGCCCTCTCTCTTTCCCCTGTTTAACATTACCAGGAATAAGAAACACCATTAAACAATATTCATTCCTCAGGATCCTGATATTTACTTTTAAGTACTCACAGTTGAGGTAATTTGGGTTTGCCAGACATTGAACAAACTCTAACTCCAGCTGGAATCGAAGTCTATTTCCTGTATCATCTGATACACAAGAAAAATAGTAAGAATTGGACGCACACAATAGATTTGAGAGTAATTTCCTCAGTTTGAGCAATAGATATACGGTGTTTAAACAGAAGAAAAAGCAGTAACTCCCCATAATAAATACAAATTCATTTAGCTAAGACTTCATTACATGAATCAGTGTTAGGCCTGCATAAATACACACACTGGGTTGGGGTTTTTTTTACCAAGCCAAGCGAGTTTTTTGACAAGCCAAGCAAATGCAAAGAATGGAGGAATGCCCACTGACACTTTTAGAGTAAAAGAAAAGGGAAATGCAAGAAGCCTGGAATATCCGTAGAGGGCAAATTAAGAAGGTAAGAATAGGGAACTGTGAACAGCCCACTGAAATCCTAGTTGTATGTATTTTTAGAAGTAGTGCAAGGCATTTTTTTTCAAAGATATCTTGATACAGTACACTAGTGAGAATGCTGCAATGTTCGTACAGTACAACGCACACCAATCACTAGTGGTATACCGTTGGGGTCGATACAGGATCCAGTGCTGTCTGACATCTTTATTAATAATCTAGGTGATGTGACAGACTGCACATATAGCAAGCTTGCAGATTACATAAAACTGGGAGGAGTGGATGAAACACAAGAGAGTTGTGCAGCCGTTCAGAGGGATCTCAACAGGCTGGAGCAGTGAGCCAACAAAGTGAAATGCAAAGTCCTGCACCTGGGGAGTAATAGCTCCATGTACAGGCCAGGGACCCACCTTCTGAAAAGCAGCTTGGCAGAAAAGGACCTGGGGTCCTGGTGGACAAGTTGAATATGACCTGCAACGAGCTGTTGCAGCAAAGAAGTTCAACAGCATCCTGAGCTGCTTTAGGAAAAGCATTATCAGCAGGTCAAGGGAGGTGATCCTTCCTCTCTACTCAGCACTGGTGGGACCTCATCTGGTGTCCCGCATCCAGTTATGGGCTCTCCAGGACAAGACAGACATGTACGTACAAGAGCAAGTCCAGCAAAGGGACACAAAGATAATTAAGGGACTGGAGCTTCTGACATCCAAAAAGAGGCTGAGAGAGCTGGGACTGTTCAGCTTCAAGAACAAAAGGCTCGGGGATGATCTTGTCAACACGTACAAATACATGATGTGAGGGAATGAAGACAGAATCAAAGCTGCCTCAGTGGTGCCCAGAGAAAAGACAAAAGGCAATGGGCACAAACAGAAATACAGGAAATTCCTTTTAAATATGTTTAGGATGGGGGGGAGGCTGCTTTTTTTTACTTTTACTGTGAAGGTGGTTGATCGTAGGAACATGTTGCCCAGAGAGACTGTAGAATCTCCACCCTTGGAGATACTTAAGACCTCACTAGACAATATCCTGAGCAATCCAGTCTAGTTGACCGTGCTTTGAGCAAGGGGTTGGACTAAATGCTCTCCAAAGATTCCTTTGAACATTAACTATTCTGAAATTCCACTAAACAGTCCCATCTTGAAAGGTGAAACGTGGAAGAACAGCCTACTTACTTGAACGCAATACCAAATCAAAGCTGGGTACTAACAGTTTTTGACTGTTTAGCAGTGGTCATAAGAAATTAACTTAATTTCTGCATTTGTGCCTATAACTATACAAGCTGGGGGCTACCATACCAAAAGAGAAGAATAAAGAATCAACTGACTTTCTTATTTTTGGAATCACGCTATCAAAGTATCTTAATTTTTTTTGCAGTGTCACTGTATTCTAGAAAAAGATACCTCTTCGCTATTGATGTTAACAATGTTATTTGATCCAGGTTGTTATTATATTCCCTCCCCTATTTTCACCATATCACTTGTATTAGTTTTGAAGACTATTAAATATTTCACTGAGAACATAAGCTCTAGGGGATCCTAACAGGAAAAAAATCCATGTAAATGAAGATTCTACATTTAAAATTATTTTTTACAAACTAGTAAATAGTCATTTTTAATCTGTTTAAAACAGCCCACACTGCCATTAGTTCTTTTAAATTTTTTAGCATCAACAAAAACTAAATAGTTTAAGTAGGAGCAATTATTTATGTAATGCTTATAAAACTTATGACATAAAAATCAGGTGATAGTAATTTGATAAATTCCGTTTGCCATTATATATTGGTTACAAGTCTCTAATTCTTTAGTGACTCCATCTCATACCTCAGAGCATTTCCATACTACAGAGAAATGGCTATGTCCATAAAAAAATAAGAAACTTGAACAGAGAATACAAGAGCAGTACAACAGAATTTGAGAACACAGGTAACAATAAGGAGAATACATAAGGCTTAACCATCATGAACACGCAGCAAACCTTATGATGGAAGATGGGCTCTCAATTCTCAGAGGTCTGCTGTTACCACTAGAGACCACTCATTTCACAGGACTATGAGGCAAACTTTCAGTTCCCACCGGCAGCCAGACAGACCTTAACACCAGGATACACATGCTTCTGAAAAAGTTGCATCTAAACACACCTTCCTTTTTCTAAAAGGGTATCCAGGCATAGCAGCTCAGCCCAGGGCTCATGAAGAGCTGCGAAAACCAATGCTTTCCACAGGAATAAAGGTGAAGAACAGACTGGGATTGACTGAAGGCTTTGTGCTACCACATTTGCAGCTCCGATTCCTGAATCAAGGGCAAATGTTAAAAATGAGGTCAGGGTGTCATCCGTGGTAAAGACTCTTAATAATAGTTTTGGGAAAGTGGGATTTAACTCTACAACCACGGAAGCGCCCTCTGATGCCCTCTCGCCATCTCC